AATGAAGCGTGAACTGAAAGCTAGGAAGCATAAGATAGCTGTTTCCAGCTGGTCGGAATTAGACCGTTCGACCCCTACTAGACAATCAGAAGCGTCTTCTCAATACATTATCTGTACCATGACCAGTCGTTATGCGAGTGTGACAACTGGAAGAACGTCGTATCCAAAATGAAGGGGTGGCCTAAGCAAGATGTTGACACACATGGGAACATTTTGCACGGCGTAACACGATTCACTTCGAACCGAATCAAAGATAACTGAATACCGTATCTAGCTTGTTGTAAGTGGCCAGTCGACAACTTACAGAAAAAACAATCTTGCTTCGTGTGTCGCACTGTATTTTTTATATAACAATAAACAATCCTCCCGGATGTGTGGTGGGCTTTTGGTCAAATTTATCTGCTTGCATCACCAACGTCGCAATTTTGGTTCCTTATACTCAGCATATATGTAGATCTGAAGTAAATCAGAATCAATGTGAAATCAATTTGAACTCATATTCCTCATATCCGATAACAGGCACTCTGCTCGCAAACCACCGACGTCAATCCGGCACAAACCGAACTATCAGAACGAGAGGCCGAATTGCTCAAAGCTTATTTGACCGAGCTGGTGACAACAAGACAGACGAAACTGCCCCGATCTTAAAAAGATCAACGCAACGAAACCAATTTCGGAGGGCACCGTTACCCAGCACAATTTAGGGTCCGATTTTCACACCGCCATAGAGGCACCGTTTGTTGAGAAACAGAATAATATTTCAACACCTAAAGTCGTGTTTACTATCGATTTCCGTAATAAAAAAGCCAGCACATTTTCTTCCGTTTTCTCGAACAGTTGACCGTGGCACCAGAAATAAACATAGAGGGGGACTAGGTATAGAGGGAGGTGAGTTCTTCTGAAGCACGAAGCCAGAATATGAAAAAGCATGTTAAAATCGGACAGACTACTCGACTTGCAACATAATGAACCCTCAAAAAGAACCAAGACACAGAGTCATGGGAGAAAAAGGTCGGTTCATGTATCCACACATTGATAAGGCTGCACGGTCGAAATCATTTCTAAACTTCAAATTTTACCCTAAGCGGTCTGAATTTAACTGCGCCATCACAAAAATCCCTCATGGCCCTGGAAGCCACATTCGCTTGTCATAACCAACCCTCCTCCTCTTCCTGCTCAATCAAAACACATCGGATGCAGGGTGACATGT